ACAAACTTTGTCCAAAAACCTCTCATGTTTAGCTGTTTCCCTCTTTTTCTTTGGTCATTTTAGCCTTTTTGGCCAGGGTGAAGGGAGTATCTGCCATCAAACAAGAAGACAGCTGCATGTAGCTATGATGATGTTTGCTAGTTCACCTTACATGCATTAATGTAATAACGTGGGTAGCCTACTCAACGTAAATTACACGCGAACAACAGAGAAGAACGGCTGCTGCTGCCATCAAATACGGCACATTTCTCGGCTTTAAAAAAACCCCCGCTATGCGTCGCCAGGTGTTTCATCTGATTTGAGGTGTTACCTCCTTTGACAGTATCACAGTATCAGCTTAAAGCACTTGTTGCAGGCTGCTGAGTTTGCATATTTTGCTGTGAAGTACAGCCAGACTTTTGACCGCTTCGTACCTGGCCCCGCCTACTGTCCTCCAATAAATCCTCCAATAATCCTCCAATAAATGATTGGCTAGAAGTGTATCAAGGCTCAGGAAAAAAAGCACCGAAATAAAGCACCGAAATGTGCGCTGCTTTTCGGTCTGGTTACTACCGTTTATGTCAGAACCGGTGCCATCATGGCACCGGACACCGGTACCCATCCCTAAACAGGACCCACCTAATCGAGTGGAGTGAACACACTGATGTAGTGCAACAGCTTAAGCAGATAAAAAGAATGATACAGAGACTGATTAAAGTGATGAGAGTATGTGTACATTAATATTTTACTCAGATTAACATAGATCTAATTAAAAGGTTATTCTGTCAACAGATTCGACGATGCTGAATGATTGATCAATACTAGTTCTGATTATAAACTGTCACCCTAAGCATACAAAACAAAATATCTTTTGTCCACACTCCTCCTCTTTGGCCATCGGCCAACTTTTACCCAAATTTTGTTTCACTCCTCCGTCCAGGCGGCCTCTCGCAATGGCATCATATGCCCCGGACCAGCTGAACCAGCTGAACCAGCTGAACCAGCTGAACCAGAGTCTAGGGCCCTGCTTACCAGTTTTACCAAAATCCGCCTTACCAAAGGAATGAGACAACATCCGCTCATCAATATACCTAGAAAAACTATAAGAGAAAACATGGCAGACATAAACACACCCTTCCATTGCCCAAAGACAGACGTGATCCAGTCTCCCAGCCCCGTGTTCACGCCTGATTGCTCATGCATGGTTTTAGATAACATTTTCAGACTTTCAAGCACCCTAGTGACCGTTCCGTCCGGAGCAGTATTGTTGGGAATAAAGGTGCAACACATGTCTCCAAACATTGCGCATACCCCACCTTTCTCAGCCAACAACATGTCCAGCGCCATTCGATTTTGAACTCCCATTAGCGATGTCGGACCTAATTGTTCCGCAAGGCCTTCCACTGCGTCCCTAGTGAGATTAGAGAGCCTTAGCACATTATAATGGACATAGTTAATGCGATCAACATTTTTATTTGGAGTTATCCATAAAAACACACTTTCAAAGCCAGCCGCTATCTGATTAACTAACTTATACTCATCTGGAACTCCCCTGGGAATTCCTATTGAGTCAATCCAGGTAGGCGAGTCCCATCTTGGATCACACCTGTGCATACCCCTTGTGCTTCTCCTTTGTCTGGCTGTCGACACATTCGTACCCTGCTGTGGAAGTGTTCCTAGTCTACTCCCCATAAGCATCAACGGTGCATCTAAGCGCACCAAAGCACAGGTTCCCACACTCCCCAGGGGAACCTGCGCCAAAAGGGTGTAATGCCCACAATAATAATATAGCCCACCCCTGGCCCAGGTGCCTATAATTGTGTTTGGGTCACTTACATTATTGGTAGTCCTGCCTGGAATCGTCCTCTGACACCAGCTTGGATCAATCCTTCCTACCGTATATCTCACTCTGTCTGTAGAGAACTCAAAACAGGTATAATTATTTCGTTTAGGTGTGAATGAACCTGGTTGTGTACGTTTATCAATTGGTGGATATAAACCTGACAAAGTAGTGCAGTTACCTGTGTTCGCCGCCTCTCTAGTTAACCTCAGCATACAATCATAACCCCACTTATCCTCTGGATACAGAGGAGCGGGTTCAGTAAACAAACGAGGTCTAGCTGTAGCACAAGCAACACAATCAACCACTTCCTGCTCTTTAGCATTTTGAGCCACCCAATCTAACCAAAGATTCCTATCACCAAAACCTGTGGCCCGCTCTATTAACTCCTGAGGTTTTAATCTGGTATAGTCAGTGGCAACAAACCATTTCTCCTCCGAGTCCTTGTAAGTAACTGTCTCTAAGGGATCCATTGGCTCCGTGAGATTCATTGCAGGGTCGTTTACTATTAGTTTAGCTCCCGGATTGAATAAATTCACCCGAATTACCCCAAATGGATCTGTCCCTGCTTTGTCTATCCCTATGACTAGATAAAACGCACCTCCCTCATACCCTGGTTCAGGGAGTTCGCTCCATGGTCCTAGGGAAAGAGTGACAGGGTTATTGGTAACAGAAAAATCTCTTTGAATGGCTATCCCTTCAAGGGCCTCTGGCACCGTTGGCTGCCATCCTACTCCTGTCCAAGCAACCACATCCTGCCAAGAACACCACTGATCTGTTATATAAGTGAAAACGTCTCCCTCGGTTGACGGGCCCCACACTGACTGAGGGTAGCATATCATCGGATGATAACAAACCCACACATCATAGGTTCTCCAGCTGCTACTGTCTCCTGGGCATCCAATTACCTCACACACATCAAATGTGAACGCTGTCGCGGACCCGTTAACATACCCAAATTCGACACCGCCACTGGCTTTGAGACACGCATCGTTCCCACCTGAGCCAACCTCCCGCTTAAATCGCATGGATAGACTTCTGCGTCTGGGCAATTCACCTGTCTGCCAAAAAACAAACAAACATATTATAACACTTATCAACCCCAATATCCCCGTTAGTTTCCAATTTTCCCACAGTACCCGGGCTCTTTTACTTTTACTTTAACCTTTGTGATAAGAATATAAGATGATGAGTATAAAAATATGCGATTAACATACAAACTATTACGATTCCTTTAAACTATAAAATACTTTTAGATAAGAGCCCTAGCCTATTAAAAACCCAGAATGAATTAACTCTTGGCGTGTGACACTCCTCTTCTTTCTTCGCCTCCACCAGGGGGACTACTGGGGAGGCCCGGTGCACAGGGGGAGAGGATTATTCTGCCTCTATGTTCCCCCCTGTGTTGGTTGAGGTGGAGCTTAGCTCCAGCAAGCTCTCGTCCGCGACTGCACACTGAGACCAATGATACCAGGTCTCCCCATTCCCCTTCAGACGGACCGCACTGGTGGTTCGGGCAGTTACTTCGAATGGTCCGGTCCACCTTGGATCTCTCCACTTTCGCTTGATGACCTTCAACCACATCGCCTTGGCATCGGGGACGGACCTGTCCTCCGCTTTCACCCCCTCTCCAACCTGTTGTGTGAAACTAGACACAAGAGCTTTTAATTCTTTCCAACATTCAATATGTTTTCTGTTACTCTTTATACTTTCTTCCGCCGGGACTGTTGTCCAGGGACCTGGAAACTGTCGTCCTGTCAACAGCTCATATGGTGTGAACCCTGTGGATTGATTAACACAACATCTTATTATCATTAATGCAATGGGCAGGGCTGCCACCCAATTTAGCCCCGTCTGAGCAGAAATTTTAGCGATTTTATCCTTCAAGTTTAGATTCATTCTTTCTACCTTCCCCTGCGACTGGGGGTGATATACAGTGCCAAATCTATGTTGCAACCCCAGCTTCTGTTCTACCTCTGCCAAATCTTTGTTTTTGAAATGAGTCCCATTGTCTGATCTAATTCTCTTAGGAAAACCATGCCGGGGGATGTAATGATTGATTAAACACTTAATTACACTTTTTGCATCCTCCCTTTTTGTTGGCCACGCTTCGGGCCATCCCGTCAGAGCATCTACACTTACCAGTAGATATCGAACTCCTCCTGGCCCTGAATTAATCATGTCAGTGAAGTCAATCACAATCTCTTCACCTGGTCTCTCTGGGATGGGAAACTTACCTGCCTCCGGTTTAATCACTGGCTTTGGATTGTGTCTCCCACAGATCAGACACGTCCTGGCTTTTTCCTTAATCATATCCTTCAAAAAGGGATGCCACCAATGGCACAGATGTCTCCCCATGTGGGCCACACCTACAGGACCAAGCCCATGCACTTCGGCAATCTTCTGTTTTGCCAGGTTGGCGGTCAACACTGGTCGTCCGTCAGGTCCTCGCCAGAGACCTCCTTCTTCCCAGGCTCCTCGACTCTTCCAGACCCCCTTTTCTTCCGGGGCCGCCGCCTCTTGGGCTTTCCTGGCCTCCTCTAGCATGTTGACTCCTTGTTCTTCCTCCACAACTATTTGCACCATTTGCCGTGATGCTTTATAGCCTGCTGCCTCTTTCGCAGCTCGATCGGCTTCCTGATTTCCTCTGGCCACCATGCCAGTCCCCGCGGAGTGACCTTTACACTTTATGATACTCACCTCCTCTGGATCTCCCAGGGCCTACTCAAGTTCCTCCATTTCCTTTTTGTGGTAGATTGGTGCATTCTCAGCTGTCCTGAATCCTGCTCTTCTCCATTGGGCCAGCTCCACGTGAGCTGCTCCAAAGGCATAAGCTGAGTCCGTGTAAATGTTAACTCTTTTTCCTTTTGCAAGTCTTAGGGCTCGACTTAGAGCAATTACTTCTGCTCTTTGGGCTGACTGCTGTCCTTCAAGTCTTCCAGCCTCCTTGACTTCAAATTCAGCCCCTTTTCTGCAAACTACCGCGTAGCCTGCTTTCAATCCTTCCTCATCTCTGTAGCAGCATCCATCCGTGAACCAATCTTCAGCTCCTGTCAGAGGTTCTGCTTTCAAGTCTTCTCTTATCTTCTCATCAACTTCAGCTCTCTTTGTGCAATCGTGGGGTTCTCCTGCTCCCATTAAATCTGCCATGTTAATTCCTTCATGTGTGAAGGTCAAGTTGGGAGCGTCTAAAACTTTACACACTCTCTGTTGTGTGAGTGGTGTCATGGTGAAGGCTTGTGAGTTAACATATGCCACCACACTGTGGGTGGTCAGCACCTTCAACGGATGGTCCCTCACTACATGTGCTGTCTTTTGTATAATCTTTGACACCCCAATGGCATGCTGTGTGCATCCCGGGTGCCTTGTCTCTAATGGATTCAATCTGACGCTGACGTACATAAGTACATCTCTCCCTCCTCCTTTTTTCTGAAACAACACCCCATTAACTATCCCGTGTGTTTCTGAAACATCAAGATAGAAGGGTTGTTCATAATTAGGGATGGCAAGATCAGCCGATCTTGACAAGTCCTGTTTCAATGCGATAAACGCCGACTCAGTGGCCGATGTCCATGGCAGCTCAGCCTTCAAGTTTCGGACACCCACCGTTTTTACCAAATCCCTCAAAAGGGCTGTTTTTCCTGCATAATTTGGAATAAAGTGACGGCTGTATCCTGTTAACCCTAAGAATGAGAGCAACTCCTTAACCGTACGCGGTTTTGGATGTGTCAAAATCTGATCGCGATGGGTGTTTAGCAAACCCACTGATTTGTGAGCAATGACTCGGCCCAGAAATGTTACCTCTGGTTGGACCAGCTGCAACTTTTCTTTACTGACTTTAAACCCGCACTCCGCGAGTCTCTTCAGTATGGTGAGTGAGGCTGCCGTACATGCCGAAGCAGACGGAGCCGCAATGAGCAAATCATCAACATATTGCACCAATGAACACCCCTCTGGTAGGTGGCATGGCGATAGAGCTTCTTTAAGCACCTGGTTGAAAATGCCAGGGGAGAGTGCAAACCCTTGTGGCAACCGTGTGTATCTGTACTGTTGCCCCCTATATGTGAATGAAAAAACGTCCCTCAGAGACTCATGTAACGGGAGACAGAAAAACGCATTCGCTAGATCAATACATGTAAACCACTTCTGTTCTGGTGTTAATGCCGTCAATGCTGTGTATGGATTTGGGACAGGTATCGTGTCAGTACGTAAAATGGCATTAATGGCTCTTAAGTCATGTGCCATTCTGTACTTTCCTGTCCCGTGCTTCTCTACTGGCAAAATAGGAGTGTTCCAGTAGGATTGAGAGGGCTCAAGCACCCCTACTTTCAATAGCCCTTCAATGGTTTCTGCAATTCCCTCCTCAGCTTCTCTCTTTTGCCTATACTGTGGTTTCCAAATTGGCGTATGCGACTTCAGCTGGAACCAAACAGGCGAGCAAGTTGCCTGGCCCACATCCGTAGACCCTGATGACCATAAGGTGTCAGGAAGAGTCTGTTAAGGTTCAAAAATATTGGGGGTGGAGACAAGAGAAAAACCACAATAACAACACTGGTCCGGTCGGGTTGAGTCAAACGATGATTTAATGAACACACGCGTGGGAGATGGACACTGATGCAGACAGCCTCAAAATCTCAAAATGGTGGAGCATTGCTCAAACTTTTATAGCCTCTGGTGTCTCCACCTTATCATAAAACCTAAACATTTCACATGCCTTCTCTCACACAGCGCCTAAGCTACGACCTTGGCTCTCCGTTTATCTGCTCCTGCTGAGATGGGGCAGAAAACTCCAGCATGTTCTCTTCTAATCAGACAAATAAGGCGATGACTTTCTGCAAACAGTATTTCTTATAACTCAGCAGTATAATGCATCATAAAACAATATCATTCATTCACAACAAGTCAGCAGTTTAATTTAAAGCAAATCAGTTTAACTAATGCAATAGTTTTCAGCTTCTTCTAATTCAGGAGAATAATGCAAACTAAAACTACATAATAATTCACAACCTTTAATTCGGGGTATAACATGGCATAAAATAATATTATAATCTAACAATTCCCCCTGATGAGGTCATTAGAATAATGACCTCACCAACACCCTTCAATTCAGTGTGGCCGGGTTCATCTCTTCTCGCTCCTGAGGCCCTTTGTCCCCCTGATGGGCGATCCTCGCATATCTGTGACCTCGTCTGGTGTCTGTTCCTTTCTCTGTAAGAGACAGAAAACCAAAACACCTCTCTTCCTAACCCTAATAATCTAATGTTGTTATCTACTGACCTTCTAGTGATTCAGAATTGGTTTAAAAACATTTCAGAATGTCCCAGGGACTTATTCTAATCATATCCTATGTGTGTGTAAGCGTGTTTGCATTTAGCCCTCAGCACTCAAAGTCAATACCCGCAATATATCAATCCGGACAGTCACGCCGAATGAAGCTTATGACCTTCAAAAGACCAAGTGCCAACTCGTTATAAGCACATTTGCAAAGTGTGTCTGAAAATTATTGAAACCCCTCCTTTTAACAAAAGACAAAGAAATTAACAAATCTTCTAAACGCTATTCAGTTCATTTCAATGAGTAATTATTAAACATGAAAGTGATAGTTTATGCTTTTTCACTGATTCTCTAACAGGTCCGTCTTCTTGGACCGCTATTAGCTTAAGCTTTACCATACCTAAGGTATTAAAGACACAAATGAAGTTATAAAATGTTCAAATAATCCTTGTTTGATGTTAAAGCTCAACTT